CAGCATCACTGATAATTTATTGGAAAGGCAGATTGTGGGCCCCTCCCCAGACATACTGCATCAGAATGTGCATTTTCACAAGCTCCCTGGGTGATTCAAGTGCACATTACAGCTTGAGAACCACTGCTCTTCTAGCATCAAAGCATTTTCCAAGGAGGAGTCAAATGATAGGCGATGACTTTAGTGGATCACATCAGGCCTGTTTCTGTCTGCGAGGAAGGGGAAAGTTCTAGGAAGATTTGCACTCCGTTTTATGAGTCTTTTGCCTCCTGCTAAGCCTCATAGTCTGTTTCAACTGTACGTAACCAATGCACTAAACTAGCAGAAGAGAAAGTGCATTGGTGGCAAGTCCACTAAATGAGTCAGTTTTTAACCAGGTGGTTTCCTCAACATCCTCCTTGGGTCTTTTATCCACTGAGTGTCCGTTCCTTGACCATGAACTGCAGTACCCAAGGATCTGTTTCCCTGCTGAACTCATAGCATTTAGTCATGTTTACCTCATTAGGCATTTCATCACAGATTGCCCTGACATCTGTGGGCCATAATTCATCTTGAAACTGTTATACCTTGGCATTTCTTACAATATGTAGCCCTCTGCTCTGTACAAAGTACATACCCAATAAATTGATGAATTTGTGACAGGTTTTCAGGAAGTGGTTTTGTTCTTCAATTTTCTTTTGAATCCTCTTTGTCTTGAGAAGCTTATTTAACTGAGGACTTACTAAATTTTTATTGATTTGCTCCACATTTATTTTAGACGGTTCTGAGAGTACCACTGTAGATTTTTTTCACTGATTGGCTTCTTTATTTTACTCACCATAAGGTAGCTCTTTGTGTCTCAGTTACTTTTGTCTTCTAGAATTATGGGTTCCTGTCAGTTACTAATGTTCTTAAGTAACATACGGCCACAAAAATCAGTTCTCATAACTAGTTTCTGAGAAATAATTTTATTTTCTGGCTTTTTTTTTTTTTTTTTTTGCCTTCGACCTCTGAACTATATTTAGAAAAAAGAAAAGAAGAAGAACAGAAAACTTTCCATTGCAACTTGTATCTCATGTGTCTTCCTGTTGCATCAAATCTTAGCTTATTCATCAGAATAGTTGCACGAAATTCATAACCACTTGGTTTTATTTTTGCCTTTGAATTCTGCTGTCCCAACACAAACTGAACTCTTACTTTCTGTCATCTGTAAGACTTTCCTAATTGGTTTCTGCCCACGGACATCCCTTGTTCCTTCTCTTGTCAATATATACACATTGCCATCAGTTAAATTTCCCCCTAGGCATCATTTTGTATGGGTGACTTGTGCTAGAAAACCTTCTATAGATCCTCTCTATGAATCCTAGGTGATCACATGGTCCACCCTTTCTCTTCGAGGTCGGGTATCACCTCAGTGTCTGCTGTCTCCTAACACAGTGCCTTGCATACTGATGGCAGGCAGATAGCACGCAGGACTGGTTTGATGTCTGCATACATGGATTAGGCTAAACCTCTTCCCTGTCTTCCATTCCATCCTTTACAGCGTTTATGCCCTGGTTCTGCTTGAACCAAGCCTCCTCACACAGCCCATTCCCACCCCTACCTTTTTTTTTTTTTTTTTTTTGAGTCAGGGTCTTACTTAGTTGTCCACGCTGGAGTACAGTAGTGTGATTATGGCTTACCACAGCCTCAGCCTCCTGGGCTCAGGCAATCCTTCCACCTCAACCTCCTGAGTAGCTGAGACTACAGGTGCACCACTATGCCAGCCTGATTTTTTGATTTTTTTTGTAGCGACAGAGGCAAGGTCTTACTATATTGCCCAGGCTGGTCTCAAACTCCTGGGCCCAAGGACTCTTCCCATCTCCGACTCCCAGAGTGCTGGGATTACAGACACGAGCCACTACACCTGGCCACATGTATATTTCTTTTGCTTACAGATATCCTAGCTTGTGACCATTCTTTACCCTCCAAAATTTTCCATTCTCCACCTGTGTCCTTTGAAATAACACCAGGCCTGAATGTCACTTCTTCCATTGAATCTTCTTTTCTCCTGTTTACAGTTTCTCTCATAGGCCTTGCTTCCTCACTTATAGGGCCTCATTCTCCAAGTTGCCTGTGGCTGGTCATCTGTGTGGGTGTTAACCCACTTATTAGAATGAAAACTCTTTGAGGGAAAATTTTGTCTGATTCTTCCCTAGTTCTTAACACACATTCTCTCCTCACGAAGTAAGTTTGTTCATGTGTTGTGTTTGTTCTTGCTTGGAATTCATCACTTTTAAAAGCAAGGGAAAAATGCTTTTAGATCCTAGACTAGGGACTGTGATGTTTTTTCCTTGACTGTTTACCTTCTCACTGCCATGTGTGAATGTCAGTGGCTTAATGCCACCTGTCTTATTGTCTGACCGAGCCACAGACGTGTGGGAAATCTTGAACGTGTGCTTTCTGCAAGTTGCTCTTTACAGTGGAGGTTTGCTCTGTCTGCAGTCTTCAGTTTCTTGAATTTGAGGGAGCTGCAATATGTGGGTGTTACAGGCTATTGTTTTTCCGTCCATCACAAGCCGCCGCCTTTGATTCATTTATCCTCTTGTGTGTGAATCTTTTGAAGAAGGCCCAACACATTTTCACTATAGAAGCCAGGAAAGTCATAAAGCAAATCATACCATCTGACGCAGGACAGTATTTTGCCACTTCTGCTTGAGAAGGGGAGGCTGAAGGCGTCTTGACGCAGTGGAGAGTGACTGAAGACTCCCTTCTACCTGGCGAGTATCCCATATTGCAAAGGTGGTCCTGGTTGCATTTTTTGGAGAGCCCTATTAAGATGGTACATGCTAAGGATGCTTAAATATGGAGCCTTTCTTACATGGGCACTTCACAGGAGTGGGTCTTTAAGGAAGGCCTCTTCCATTACAACACAGTCTCCATCCATAGCTCCCTGCATCCTGAATAAACATGCCATCTGGGCATCAGAAGTAGTGTGCTTCCTGTGCAAGCAGAGCTTGCAGATACTTCTCCTATGTCCCCTCCAGCCAGATCAGCACCCACGAAGCCCCTCCTCTAATGGGAATTCTAGAGTTGCCACTGACTTCCTAACATTACTTATACTTGGACTAGTAATGCCTTACCTGCCCTATATATGAGGGGAAAAGGAGATGAAATAAGAATTTTATGGCCAGGTCCCAGCACTTTGGGAGACGGAGGCGAGAAGCTTGCCTGAGTCCAGGGGTCTGAGACTAGCCTCGGCAACTTGGTGAGACATCTCTACAATAAATCAAAAAAGTTTGTCAGATGTGGTGGCACATGACTGTGGTTCTAGCTACTTGGAAGGCCGAGGTGGAAGGTCGAGGCTGGGGTGGTAGTGAGTGAGCCACTGCCGATCAGTCTAGGCGATAGAGTGAGACTCCTACTCAAAAAAAAAAATATATATATATATATTTCCCAGGCTGAAGTACAATAGCACAAAAACAGCTCACCACATCCTTGACCTCCTGGGCTCAGTCATCCTTCCACTACAGCCTCCCAAGTAGGTGGGACTATAGGCGCACACCACCACACCCAGCTAAATTTTTTTTGTTTTTTTTTTTTGTAGAGACGGGGTCTCACTATGTTGCCCAGGCTAGTCTCAAACTCTTGAACTCAAGCAATCTTCCTGTCTCAGGCTCCCGAAGTGCTGGATTATAGGCATGAGCCTCCTTCCAGCCCGACCTAAGAATTTTAATGTTCTTAAGTCTTAATATTCTGTGGCACTTACTGTAAATGGTTGAAATATTTTTTTTTTAATTTGGCATGTCATTAGTTAGCTTTCAAAACTGCTGAAACATTTATCTTCCAAGATTTTAATGATGATGTTGGTGAGGATGTTTGTGGCAATTATATAATCACTTACATTTATTCAGCACTTTGCAAAGCATTTTCACAAACTCAGAGTGTTGTCTGTTATCTGTTCATTAATGAGATTTAATGAGATGCCTGTGGTGTCTTCAGGGCAAATAGGAGGGAATACAGTTTCTTAACACTTCAGTGTTAACTTCTTGAATAACTGCTGCAGCTATAGTTAACCCACTATGAGCCAAAACTGTTGGCTTGAATACTCAAAAGGCATAACTCATTTTCTGTAAAAATAACTTGACTAAATATTAGATGTCTGTGTAAGTCATTTTCTGCCAGTTAAAACAATTTTATTCTTCTCTGTATCTTTCTTCAGACATTCATCTTTAAGACGTTCTGGGAAAGGAAGTGAAAAACAATACTTGGCCTCTAATACATTGTGCAGTTTTGATTATCATCAGCACTTTCATCAAATTTATCTTCAAGAAAGTCTTTGGAGAGAGCCCCTGAAAAGCTTGGGAAAGTTTGATTGGTCTAGTATCACTTGTCTTAAATCTTCTTTCCATGTTTTATAGGACAACTGTGGAGGCAAATTTGGCTCTTGTGTTCTCTAAATTGAAGTGTCTTGAAGTTATAAGAAAACGAAGGTTTCAGACATGGTGGTTGGTGACTGCATTGGTTGAAAGCAGCTGCTTAAATCTCAATTCACTGTGGGCTTTTGTGGACTGTATTGGTGGTGACCAGAATGAAGTGGAAGATCCTTATTTTAGTGTACATTTCTTCCATAGCTCTCTTTGGTACCCATCTCTGCAGAACATACAAACTGTCTTTCATTGTTAAAATAGTTGTTAAATGAATATTAAAAGCCAAAAAAAAAAGTCATGAAAAAAATTATTTGCTTACCTGTCCAGGCAGAGAATAAACAAGTGCCAGGAAAGCAGAAAAGAGAAGTGATTTGAATAATTTTACTGTCATTGAGACATATAGGCTAAAGAACACCAGTAGAAGAATCTAGTCTGCTAACTTTGAAGAAAACGTATTGACCACAAACATGTCTGTTTATAACCATCTTTTAAATGATCTCTTACGTTAATAGAGAACTTCATTCTTTGCAACACAGTTTCACTTGCATGTCATCTTTGACTTTGGAAGCAGCTATCTGAGACAGCTATGATTATCCTGTTTTACAGATGTGGAAATGGAGACCCAGAAAGACTCAATCCTCTGCCCAGGCTGTAATAGGACTGTCCATCCACTGAGACATAGTAAAGTATCATGAATTTCTCTCTCCATCATTTTACCATTTTTAGTCATCATGTTCCCTCACTGTTTAATCTGCAAGTAAATATAAGATAAAAGTTTATGGTCTCATCATATTTCTGTGTATTTGTAGCTAAACTGTGGAAGAGGCGACAAGGAGTGTACGTCAGGGTTCTTGTTCAGCCTTGAACATTATAAATCCTACTTACGCTTCCTCTTTACACTTCTTTGAAGGTTTTGTCCACCAGTCATACTAGAGTTCAAACTATGTAATGAGTCATTTTTCTTTTCCTCTTTCCTTGTGCGGACAGCTTCTCTTTTATACACCATGCGGTCTGCCTTCTTGGGGGTTGTGTCACCATCGTCAGTGGACAAATGTTGCCATTTATAATAGGCTGTGCCAGTTGCTACCAGTCTGAGGTTTTGCTCTTCACCAGAGCTTCAAGTTGCTGAACCTCATCAACACGGACATCTTTTCATAGGAAGGGCGTTCTTCACCATGTAGACATAGAGGTCAAGTATTGTCTTTGTCTTCCTTTCCCAGAATTTCTTGAACACCAAGGTTTAAAGAAAGCTATTGAGAAAAACAAAACTGTTTTGACAAGCAGAATACAAGTAACACAGACATCTAATTTTAGTTCAGTTGCTTTTATATAAAAGAAGGTATACATTGAGGAGCAGTGAGACCTTACCTGTATAACTGTATTTTCAAAGAACATGCTTAAGCATCACCTCAATGAGCAGAAACGACATTCTTTTTGCCATCATATAAAGCTAATATATACTCTTGCTTTTCTGCTGTTTGCTCCACATAAATGTTTTTCCCCCAACATCAAAAAAGAAATTGAGTCATGATGGCATTTAATTTTGGTTAAAGAACATATTAAATTCACTCTTACATTATTATATGGGCTTCTTTCTCTTCTTTTCCACCAGTATTCATCAGGATTATTTTTCCAAGGGGCTTAGTTGGGACAGAAGACCATAATAATCCTTTTACTTTCCTGAGGATTTTCTGCAAAGATGAGCTTCATTAAACAATGCCTGAGTTCATGAGTTGATAATTGTAGTGATTTTCAAACTGTAATAGATTTCAGCATTACCTTTTTCTGTACTTCCTTTAAAAAAGAGATTCCATGTTAAATCTTGTGGAATCATACCTTTTATATGATCATTTAAACATTGTAATTTTTACATACTGATTTCTGTTAAGGCAGATGTCACTGTACCAAGAAAATACTCAAATTTCGGATATTTCAAAAATGGCCCTTTTTTAGATCTAGTATATAGATAGTGCTTAATATGTATTTATTTAATGGATCAAAAAAAGAAAAATATCACAGAGTCTAGGAAGAGAAATTAAGTTGCAGGGACATACTGACTTAAAATTGTTGTTTGTGTCATGTCTATTTAGCATTGTAATTTTCTGAAGGAAAGACTTATCCACAACTGTTAATTCTGATCTCAGGAACTATTTGCCCTCTTAACTTCTTTGCTAGATTATCTAAAGGGAGATATCCTTTCTCACGTTGGTCTCCTTGAACTCCACTATTCATGTTGCCTTGTAGGGTCAAATCTCTTTAGAAATTAAGCTTTCTCAGGAAATCTGCTGCTCAGATCTCTCAACCAGATCTTCCTTTAAGCTTATTGTCTCCTTGGCGATTGGCAAAGGATTTCCACCCTTTAAAAATGTAGGAACTTGTAAAATCCATGCTTAAAAAGTAATCTAAAAATGATCTTCCAGTAAGAATGTATACAATGGCAACAAAAAGCCCTGGAGCCAACATTGTTTATAACCCCTGCTTCATTCCCAAATTTATTAGAGTTTGAGTCATACAAGAAAAGTATTTGGGTTGGGCTTGACTGTACCTGTGTATATAATATAATGAGGTTCGGTTATAAAGCAGTGTACAATTTTCCTAGGCGCCAGATCGAGGCAAAGATGTGAAGTGTCACCTGTAGGCCTGACCTGCTCTGTCCAGTACTACCATGCCACCATCTCTAACTGTGACTTTTTTTCCTATCGGGTTCTTCATTCTGTATAGAATAAGTCTTTTCCTAAACTCATTTTTTCAACACTAGTCACACACGTTAGGATCACCAGAGAGCTTTTAAAACAATCTCAATACTTGAGCCAACCTAGTTCTGACTCATCGCCCTGGGGTGAGGCTCTGGCATCATTATTGTTTTAAAAGATCCCCAGATGATTCTGATGCAGAACCCAGGTTGAGAAACACTGACCTTGTGAAACCCAGGTAGGTTACAAATGAAGAATTTGACCAGAGAAGTCGAAGTATTTACTGGGTGTCCCACAGAAAAAAAAAAAAAAAGTGCCATTTACTGGTTCAAATCCCCCATCTATTGACTTTAAATCCAGTATAACAAATTTGAGCAAGGTTTTAGAAGGCTTTGGAAACTCACTTGCAGAGTGGGGCAAATACAGGCCCATCTAAAGTCTACCTCACAATAAAGATGGTTAAAAACCAAGACTCAGGGAGGCAGGGCACTATCCAGGAGCTGGAAGAAGGTGGTAAGGGTGACTTTCCAAAAGAGAACACCTGACCCGGGTCTGAAAGTCTGCGTATGATTCAAGGGGGCACCACTGTCCACCTGCTAGCACCAGGCTGATGCCACTTCACTTTCTTCAAGGGAACAGAGGGAAGCTGGCAGACACCAGGGATGTGTGTCCACCTGCCATGCCAACGTAGTTCTCCAGCTCTGTCAGCCTCCGCCAAAGCAGGCAGTAAGCTTGTGAACCACCATGGATCACTTCTTGCGGGCCGTATCAGACCCCAGGAGTCCTTGCAGATGCTGTTCTTGGCTTCTTCTCCCTCCCCATAAACTTCACAGCTGACAGTGAAGGCACTGACCTCCTCCCAGGCAGGCTTCCTTGGGGAAGATCTCCTTGACCTTAACCGTCCACCTGGTAGATCTGGTGGGGAGGCGGGTAGAAATTTGGGGGGTGGAGAAGTCAGAAGGAGTTAACAAGTCAAAGGGTTTCTGATAAAAGGAGTTGTTCAGCAGAAAGGAATCGGATTGTTGGAGCTTTCAGTACCAGACTGTGTCGTTTTCGACTTAATTCTCTATTCACTGGCAAATGAAAAGTCGGACATAATAAAACCACTATAAGGCCAGGAGTTTGTGATGGGAAGGTCAGGAGACTTTTTTCTTCTTTTCCCATAATGGCCCTGCAGCTAGCAGGAGGCAGGGAGGTTTGCCATAACCTCTTGCATCAAGTCGGCACCTGGTCCTTCTTGTTTCTGATCCCACATTGGGGCATTTTATGATTATTTTAAGAACAATAGTTCCTTTATTGCACTTGAAAAGATGTATGAGGAAGCTTTTTCAAGTCCTAGGACTTAAGGATACTCCAACTTATTATTAGGTTCTATCCAGACCTCACTCCACACAGCGTAGCCTGGGAAAACCTCTGGAATAAGGTGTGAAAAATACAAACCGATGAAAACAATTCAGTGGTTCCAAAGAATGTCTTTTTTTTCTCCCTAGGCCTCACTCATAGACATTTTCCTGACATAATCTCCACTTCAGGTATCACAAGGATTTGCATACTTTGGAATTCTGAGGAAGCTTGAATTTCTTTCTTTCTTTCTTTCTTTTTTTTTTTTTTTTGAGTTGGAGTCTCACTCCATTGCCCAGGCTGGAGTGCAGTAGCACGCTACCCCAGCTTCAACCTGCTGGACTCAGGCGATCTTTCTGCCTCAGCCTTCCAAGCAACTGAAACTACAGGCATGTGCCACCACGCTTGGCTAATTTTTTGATTTATTGTAGAGACGAGGTCTCGCCTAGTTGCCTAGGCTGGTCTCGAGCCCCTGAACTCAGGTAATCCCCTCTCTTCGGCATCCAAAGTGTTGGGATTGCAGGCTTGCGCCACCACGCCCGGCTAAAACTCGAATTTCAGTGGGGCTGAACCCTGATGGAATACATCTTATTACATCTAACACTATGTTCATGGGAAACCAGGGAGAGAAGGGTGATGGAACAACACATTTAAGCCAGAGCTAGGAGTTCACCAGAGTGGAGAAGATTGCCAGTAACCTAGGAACTCAGTATTTTGAGAGCAGTTACTTCTTAACCTCCATTATGAGTAGTATAGCCATCTTAGATAGCATCATTGTTCAATAGAACTTTCTACAATGATAAAAATATCTTATATTGTGCTATCCAATGTGGTAACCATTAGTCACATGTGGCTTGACATGTGGCAAGTGTAGCTAAGGAACTGAACTTTATTTTATTGTATTTTTTTATTTTGAGACAGTATCTTGCTCTGTTGTCCAGGTTGGAGTGTGGTGGTGTGATCATGGCTTACTGCAGCCTTTTCATTCCTGGGCTCAAGTGATCCTCCTGCCACAGCCTCCTGAGTGGCTGGGACTATAGGTGTGAGCCATCACACTCAGCTACTTTTTTAGTTTTTATAGAGATGAGGTCTCACTATGTTGCCCACACTGGTCTCGAACTCATGGCCTCAAGTGATCCTCCCTCCTTGGCCTCCCAAAGTGCTGAGATTGCAGACGTGTGCCTGACCAGGAACTGAATTTTAAATATATACATATTAAAAAGTATATATATATATATATATATATATATATATATTTAATTTCAGTTAACTTGAATGTAAACAGTCTCATGTGGCTGTTGGCTACCAAAATGGACAGAACTCATTCTCCTCAAGTCCCAAAAAGGCACATCTGGGTCATTTCTTAGCACCTATAATCAAAGCGTGACAGATTAAATTACCCGTACCTCTCCATTCCTGTGCCTTGGAATTACAGGCTGTTTTTGTCTTGGAAACCTGATAGTCTAATGTTTATGGAAATACTCTTTAGTAATGTACTGTAATTATAATATTTTATTGTAGGAGGATCCAGCCAGGCCTTTTTTATCATTAGTGTTTTTAGTTTTAATCTTAAAAGGACTGTAAAAATAGGATTCTCTTGTGGGAGAAAACTGTGCTGAAGGTCTATGGGCAGGGAGTGGTAAGGAT